CGGCAAGTGCAAAACATTGATAATGACATTATTGTCGTGCAATTAACGAATTGAGACATTGAAAACTCATTTTTGTTTTATAATTATCCGTGTAGACAGTGAAGGTAGTGTAAATTGACAGCAATGTGTCATTATCTCCTGAGAATTTACATTAATTTATTCAAAATATTTTAAGCTGATATCGATGCACTGTAAAGACTTTTTTTAAAAAGCGGGAGGTTGTGTGGTCACAGCCTGAGCGAGGGTGTGTTATTTTACTTAACGGAAGGCATATTCTGATTTTTGAAAGTGAAGATGCATTTTTGTTTTTAAAAGAACGAAATCAGTATTTGAATCATAATGAATCATAATGATGGTTGTTCAAAGATCATTCAAATAATGGCAAATAAAATGAATTGTAACAAAACCAGGATCACAATTTTCCATCGCAATATCCAAATACTATCGGATAATTTTACATAAAATCAGTACCATGTGCTTCCCATATTGGGTAACAATACACATGGGCTACAAGATATAGGCGTATATGTAATATATCATAAAATTAAAGACATCTAGCAGAAATGTTTCCTTATCGAAAGTTGATTGGAAAGTACAACAAAGAAACAGAACAAGGTCCAAAAAACCCGTGGCTAAAGACATAAACTGTAAAAAGTAGGAGATTATTTCTGTATCTATACATACTAGGGACAAACATATTTTAGTACATTACTCTTTATTCTGAAATTCTGAAATTCGAAAATTTAGAATATAACATAGTTAATTAAAAGATAAATACCAGCGCATACAAATACAAATTGTATATACTGAAGAGCAAATACAAGCCTCAGTGTATAGAATGCAATTAACTATTTATACCAAAACACTTTAACCTGCAATCTACATACACTTATACTAATAATAACAGGTCATAATATAACAAGTCACAACTTTAAGAATTAAAACCATATTCCAAATTCTAGAATATCTGACAGTTATCAGTGTGTATGTATGGCCATGGTCACATAATTTATTTCAAACTCTATATATGTAAGTGACTTGTCAGATCGTTTACATTTTTCAATTGTTTTTTCCACTATATTATACTCCAACCACCTTTTCTGTGTTAATGGACCGTGAAGAATATTATAATGAAATAAGTAATTATATAATAGTTTTACTTCATGCAATATGCATTATTTAAATTTCAATCCCAACTGTATGATTAATCCTGTCGCCAAATTTGTGGACACCACTGGTAACAGAATATATGCAAGTCTGAAAGAGTCAATATAGCAAAGATTCTAAACGATCAAAACGCACTCTCAAATCATGTTGTTAGATTTATTTTCGATTACTCTTTACTTTTTTCTCTTTATCAATTGAATTGATCTATGAAAAAATAACTTAAAAATTGGATTTTTCCATCAAACAAATTTCTTCTTGATGCAGAAATACATTTTTGGAGAAATACCGTTCTCATTAGGATATTACGGTACGTCTACTTCTCTAGACCCACACTAGCGATAGCTTATCTATCTGTAACCTACTGAGTCATCATGGTCATCGAATTTGGGCATCATTCTTGAAAACGTTCAATTACGTCAATTTTTACACTTAAGTTTCTGTTATATGTACCGATATTTTATTAGCTGTGTTAGCGCCTTTTTATCCTTGTGTTGGCAAATGACGCCATCAAACGAATTAAGTATGTTAAAAAGTACTTTTACCTTTACAACACTTGAATAAGATTATCGTGAAATTGTTCAGATTATGTTTATGCAATACTTAACCTTATTGAATTCATTGATTTTCCAAACACTGCCATAGGTTGGTGGGCGACATTGAGTGATAAAACACTGAACACATCATACAAGGAGTTTAACTAATCCTATGTTTATGAGGGTAAACATTTTTAACGTAAATGTTTTGATGAGAGATACCCTATAAACATTTTAAAAATAGCAAATAAACACTTGAAGTGTAAAGTAAAGAATGTAAAATATTCTCCAGCATGGACCGTTTTAGGAAGCAACGAACGTCTACGAAATCACCAGAAAGATCATGTATGTTGTGAAAAAATCATTTGTGAAAACCCCTCTGAACTGACTTACTCTTTCGAAGAAGCTGAATCCAGAAACAGTAGGGGAATAAGTATGCCGTCTTTTCAAGGTCTTACGTAGATCTTTGTCTCTAGACTAGCCATAATTGCAATCATTCTGTGTTCTGGTTGGCACCCATGTTGATTCAATTACAAATATCAGAGTCTTGAAGAGTCCTGGTGTCTGAAAACTCATCATTCGCGAATTTGAAGTAATTTCAGATCAGCGTTCGAGAAATCATGTGTCCGCTAAAACCAAGTGATTTACAGTATATATATCGTTTATGCTACCATTAACAACGAATCGCCAAACGCACCAACAATGCAACAATGCGCAGAATATCCACCACAAAAGGAGTTACTAACAACACAGAATGTACGTCATAAAGGGGTTACCAACGATACAGAATGTACGTCACGAAAGGTTTACCAACGGCACAGAATGTACCTCACAAAGGGGTTACCAAAGGCACAAAATGTACCTCACAAAGGGGTTACCAACGGCATAGAATGTACCTCACAAAGGGGTTACCAATGGCATAGAATGTACCTCACAAAGGGATAACACAACGACGTGGAATGTGTGGTGAGCCCATAAATTGTTTGAGATAATAGGAAAACAAATTCTCTGATGTATGTCACATCTGAAGGTTTCTCAGGAAGATGACACATTTCGCTATCAATAAATATGTATCAGTAAATATGTTTCAGTAAATATATATCAATAAATATTCACTAACAAAAGGAAATAATTCAAGGATTTATTGTGTTTCTGTTTCGTAGGAATAAGATTAAGCCTTAAGAGATGTATGCACGTGTTACGATTATTTATATCAGTAGAAAAACATCCACTCGCGCCATATGGATGCGATGAATGTACACAAGCTTTGCTAAATGTTTTCAGTTGTCTAGGGTGCAGAAAGAAAAGTAAAATCGGTGTTATAAACGTTGTAGACCTTTAAATGTGTTTATGATGTTCGTACAGACAGTCATGGTGTCCTAGTCCTAAATCTTTTTATAGAGGTTGTTTTTGTCGAAGGAAAACATGCTAGTAACAGAAGCTATATCTCCTGGGCTTCAAGATTCTAAGGAGGGCGAAACAGTTGTGTAATGCAGTTAAATTCATTGTTCCGCTCTCCTTTTTTTACTGTATCCAACTGTATCAAAATGTCCCATTAGCAATTGTGCCTTTTGTACAATCTTACCAGAAAGTCTGCCAAGTCAGGCTTTCCAACGACTTTTCCAACACTAAAGAACAGCCATCATTTTCTGAAGTTATTCTAGGGCAAACATTCCAAAAAACTTGGTTCAGATCGCACACTTTAAGAGTTTGGATTTAATTAATAATAAAACAATTCTTCTAAACCACCTTTGTCTGCGGGACACGTTGTTCACTGGTGATCTGTGCGTCATGTAAACTGACATAAATGTCTACATAAAATATACAACGTAACTATTATCAAAATAAATAGAATATAAATTTCAAAATGCTAAAATACTACAGTGTTTCATAATATTCCAACATGTTATTCTGGGAGAGCGGAATGGATGTAATAAAAAGTTCCAACGTACCCTTTAAAACATGAAAACCCACACCAGTAAGTTACTTATTTTTAACAGATCAAGGTATTTTAAGTGTTATGTTATGAAAATAAAACCCAGTTACTTAATCAGTCCTCCGCCAAAACTACTAACTACCATTATTAGCACTATCAAATATGGGTTATAGTATTTTTGCAATACTGTTTACACAAGAACTGGAATAAGAGATTTTAAGCAATCTTCAAAACCCCCACGAAAAGAACATTTGATTTTTCCACCCTGTACATCATGGAACCTCTTTTAAAACTGGTTGAATGCTTTCGTTCTCTTGTTATAAGAGCTTTATCTTCCAAAAATAGTGAACGGCGGCTCATATACATGGTTGTGAACATTACTGAAGCATATTTCGTGAAATCAAAGTAATAGTATACAGAGAACGAAATCATGAATACGATATTTGCGGTTGGCAATAATTTGACATACACGAGAACTAACTGTGCACCCTTTGTTGACTGACTTGTTTTTTAGCATACAAAAGTAGGTCACAGATACCTTACAAAGGTAAGAGACATATTGATGACATCCTGTCTTTAAATAACAAGACTTTGATTCACCAGAATTGGAAAATCATTGAAACAACATACTCTTCTACATCACCCACTTATCTCAATATTTTCCTACTACGAATCCAACATTTTTCCGCAAAGCTGTATGATAAGCGGACGATTGCAAAATTCTTTATTGTTAGTGTTCCATTTCTGAATAGCAACAAATCTGCACCACCAACCAAGATTTACATGTCACAGTTGATTCGATAGTCAATTGTTTGCTCCAGTTATCACGATTTTCGTGCAAGAAATCGTCAACTGGCAGATAAACTCGTAACACATGGTTTCAGAAGATACAAGTAGATGAATATGCAAGCTTAAATATGAGCTGTTTTTTTAAAGCTACTATCGTAATTCCATATATTGCTTTGTCCGTTTTAAGAATATAACGTCACTCGACTATGCCAATTATTAACATACTGTGTGTCGTAGATTAAGGAGAAGTTTTTAATTACGGACTGCCTTGACAATAAGTCAAGCACTTCTTGTAAGGAACGGCATTTCGACAATAGAGCGGTCAGGAAACTAGATTGCGTATTTTATTTCATTTATTTCAGAATGAGAGTTTAAATTAAAGTACATGGAGACAATGGTTACTACTTGCATCATATATTGTATAGATGCTGAAACATACAAGATAAAATTTATTTTGATCTCTGAAGTGGTGAAATTATTACTAAAATAGCAATCCTCTTTTGTTATCTAAATTTAATTTATGATGGAAATTGTATCAAATTAAATTAACTTTCAAACAATGATTAAGATTATCAATGAAGGCAGACAAAGAGCAGGGGACTAGAGAGGAACCGTTGAGAAGATCAGATCAGGTAAAACACAAAATTAACACCCCCAAAGTCCGTTCAAAGTGTAAAGGTCGTTTGCTTTCAAGATATTGAAATGACCCAAAGTGTTCTTATTAATGTGTTTGAACTCTTTCGTTGTTTTCCTACCGTTTCTTCTCATCTATTTTCTTCATCCTGAAAAAAAGTGGTAAACTCTGATTCATACGTGGATGCGACTACCAAAACATTATTAAGATTTATTGAAACATTGATTATAATGCGTCATTTCTGCTGACCATACTAATAAAATCGATAAACCACATCTGTTGGACATTATTCGATTTTTCACGTAAGAAAGGTTTATATATAAGTAAGACTATTTTCGGTTTAAAGTTGAACTATTGATTGTTGATCGCATATGGTAAGTACATTAAACAAACACATCTATTTTGTCTGGTAGTCATCCAGACGAACAATCAATGTGATATATTAGGTGATTCTCACTTGACGTAAAGTATGACAAAGATTGTTATATGCTGATGCAAACAACATGTCGCTTTCCATTGGATCGCATGTGTAGTATATAATGCATTTGGCAGACTAGATAAAATCAGTTTCTTCCACTTTAGAACTCGAAAGGTTGGGTAAGTGTAATTTTTTTTTATTTTGTATTGATCTTATTCTTAAATTCTTATCTTGGCTCTTATTCTAGTTTTATACTTAATCCATATCAAAACCATATATATATGCTTATGCTTCTAAAGTTTCCATAACCAAATGTCACTTGGTTTTTATTCCTTTATATGACTTAAATTGTTCTTTAATACTTAGTTTATAGCCCCTTGGCGAAATGTTTATTAATACGAAATAAGACAAAATCATGGGATACACAATCTCAGTTATAAAATATTTAACTTTTATCAAATACATTACTAAGACTTTTAAGGTCGGATTTCAATTTAATTGTCATGGATAATTAGGTTTAAAATATATTTCAAGATCATTTTTTTTTTTTTTTTTTTTGTAATTCTATTTTTCCTTTTTTGCAGGATCAAAATTTGGCAAACATGCAGTTGCCCCTCTTTTTGTTCCTGTCTTTGATATGGAACTGTGCAGCACGTTCGTATATTTCTTTTCTATTCTTATGCCATTACCCGATATTATCACTTGCATTTTGTCCAACGAGTTATTTTTTATGGCAATCAAACGAATACATAATTATGTTACACATGAAATGAAATTAGTGTTTTATTTTACAATTTAATTTGACTAAATCAAATTATATCTATATAATGAAAGTAATTCATATTTATCGTTGTAATCATACTTGTGTTTGTGTCTGCTTCTTGTATGCATACATTTTTGTTCGTATTTGATGTCTTTTGATATCGTTATTTAATTAAATACTAATGTATAATGACTTATAAATACTAATGCAAAACATTGTTTCAGTAATGTAACACGTTAAGCTATTGGAAGAAATTATAAATGTTTTGATAAGTGTTTTAAGTGAATGAAACGCCAATTTGAATTCGAAAGCTGTAGAAAGGACTCAGTGTTCCGTTGACTGTGAAATACCTAGTTCGTGTAAATATGATTAGGAGTTTTTCTCGTATATTTATGTCTCAAAAGATTCACTTGTATTAATATCAGCATTGCGTACTTCAAAGAACAGCGTCAACCATAACACTACATAACAAATGCATGAAAACTATATCTCTTCCATTTAGAATGCTATTTTCCAATAAGATACTATAGTAATTGACATATTTCACTTTTGCCATTTGTTGAATTGCAGAAAAGACTGTGGTTACAGAATATGAAGAATGTGGGGAAAGAGAAATAGATCTAGCGTTTCTCATAGACTCATCCGGAAGTATTGGATCATCAAATTTTAAGCTGATGCGTAAATTTTTAGTGGACTTCATTAATGAAAATGCAATAAACACCGGCTCTGTCAAGGTAGCACTGGTATCATTTTCCTCATATTCAAAGGTCGAGTTTCATTTTAATACTCACGACAGCACAGAAGCTGTCCAACGTGCGATCAAAAAGATGACCTACATGAGCAGAGCAACAAATATGACAGGAGGACTCAGTACCGTGCGAACAGACGTGTTCAATAAAGACAATGGCGATAGAAACGAGGTCGGTGATCTTGTCCTATTGTTTAGTGACGGACAACCAAATGTAGAAGCTGGTAAACGATTGAAGAAGGAACTGCAGTTGTGGAAAGGAGAAGGAACGAAGAAAATACCAATATTTGCCATGGGAATTGGAAAGGCTTATCAGAAAGAAGAAAATAAGCAGCTTTTACGATCAATTGCGACCAACGGTATGGTTGACAACGAAAATATCGGTTTTGTTGATTCATACGGAGCTATGGACAGTCTCAGGGCGGACATTTTCAAACAGATTTGTAGAGGTATTTTATCACGTGCTTTCTGTGAAAAATGCGATATTTACTTTAAACTAGTTTATGTTTTATTATCGTCGTTAAAGATTTTAGCAGCTTACATATTGTAAGTCTTTTGTTATATTATTTGCCATTCAAAAAACTATTCTATAGACATATCGGCAGTTTAGTGTGAGATATATTTCTGCAAGAGCCTAAAAGACCATTGTCTGAATGCATAATACAATCTGCGTGTTTATATTTTTGCAACTGTTGAAGTGTTTTATTTAGGATAGTTGCAAATTAAATAAAGATATTGTTAACTTTAATTACACTTAAAAATTCAAAATCATTAGTGTTTTCTTTACCCTAAAAAGTGTTTTATTAAAGCGATTTATTAACAATAGATGGAAAAAGATATTTCGGAACGGTTCAATTACAGCATTTGTCGTATATTTTATCAAATAAAAACATACCTTTAACTTTTCTTTCAGTAATCAAGAAGGTTTCAACAGTTAAAGATGGTAAGTACATATTTTTCGTTATAAGCTACAAAATCTTCTTTATTATATCAATAATAAACAAAAACTTAACCATGAACAGTCGACAAGCTTTCCTTTTCATTGATTTATCATACGTACTGATCCTACAGCTATAAGCCAGTAATAATATATCACGTTTATTCTTTGTATAGGTGATCCGTGTTACGAAGAAGGACAAGTGGTAAACTCAAGATGCAAACGATTCACTTGTCAAAATGGCCGTTGGTTCAAGGCGTGGAAAGGTGATTTGCTTTCTTCAATAAAGATTTTTCTTCAAGCAAATGTAGAATTAGGAAGAATAAATACTTGATAACATGATAATATATGGTAGTTGCATCCACGACAACTCTTTTTCTTACCTAAAATGAGATATTTGTGCTAATGAATCAATCCAACATTTGCATATGATTGAAATGAATTGTCATTAGGGGATTGAAGACTCATAATATGCGTATGAAGCACTCCACTTTTTGATGTTCAATTTGTGTATAATTATTTCTAATATTCTAAGATAGATACATATTTCCTTTTGATAGGATGTATATTTAACGGCTGTATGGACTGGGATGAAGAGAAAATGGATGGGTGTAATAGGTACAAATGTTTGAGAAAAAGTGAATGTCTTGATGATGATAGAAACTTCTGCCTCGGATTTAACGTCAAATTGCAAAATGTCGGTAAGTACAGAACATGATATCACAATATATAGGTATTTTTAAAAAGCCGGATAAATATGGTTCAGAATTTAATAAATAAAGGAAAATCTTCCCTCTGTTCCATGCATTATATATTCGTTTTGTCTACCATATTCATTTATTGAATACGCGTTGCAAGTAGAAAGCAGTTACAGGTATTCAATTTGAGTGTTTATGTATGTTAATACACTATTGATAACATTTTTCTGACCATCAATAAAACTAACTCATAAGAAAATGAAGACTGGTTTTATTAATACATGATTATTCTTATTATTATATGTTGTCTATATGCACATTTTGTCCAGGATATTTCACATTGGTATATTATTATTGAAACGTATGACGTTGTGTTCTTCAGGTTGTCGAGTAAAAGGAAAATGTATCGAGGAAAATTCCATCTGGAAGGATGATTCGACTTGTGAAGCGTACCAATGTAAACGAGGACAAGATAAGGATGGCAAGGCTGTGGGTGAAGTGGAAATGACAGACGCAGGTAAATATCAACAACATTGAGTCGAATGTTTAAATACATCGAAAATGACCAGCCTCAATATAATTGTGACAAGAGCATTTTTAGGGTCTACATCGGCGCTCTCTTACTTACCAAATCGTGGTCACCGGCGTAATGATACTTGCTGACTGACAAAGGTGTTGGTTTCCAGCAATGCTTATATCCTATAGGAGTCGGCCTGAAGATGGTTCACCCTTCCAGACCTCTCACCGATACATTGCTTTGTATCATCAAAGTTGGTTCTCTAGGCTTTACATTTAATCCTAATTAATCGATGATGAACTTACTAATTATGTAACTAAATTACTAAACTATAAACGCCGATTGTCACAAAACAAAACAAAAATAATTCTGACAAAATAGGAAAGTTTTAACCATAAAGTAACTACCAAAATACCAAAATAGTATTACGCCGATATTACTTTTTTTTTTTTTTTTTAGGAAAAACGTCAATTTTTGTGAACAAATGGCATTGTGAATGTCCTCCATGTTAACAAGCATATAGATATCTTTATCTTTTACCCTTACGCTGCCCAAAGATCGAAACTTCGCCATTTGTGCAAAGTGTTAACATCTTGTTACACTCTTCAAACCTTCATTCACACATGTGGCATTCCATCTAAATAACAACCCCTTGCACGCATACAAGTAATGCCGATAGGTCATAGAATGATTATATCTTTAAATAATAATTAGGACATTAAATACAATATCTGTGACCGACAGTTACTATACTAATCTTCCAACAATATATTATATACCCAAATACCCCAATACAATCAATTGTTCTCTTACTTTCTACATTTTCTTCTTAGACGGAGACACATAATAACATAATACGGAACCGTTATCACAATAAATGGTAGATGTGTAGTTACGGGTTGTAAATTGTCGTTAGGAGAGACATTAAAACCAAGACTTCCGAAGCACAACTGGTTGTTTAATTTTTACAAAACAGATGGTAATAACTTAACTGGTGATCAAGAGATTGGTATGTGTGCTAAGTGTTTTAAGAATTATCAGAAAAAACCTCAATCTGCAGGGGAAACATTGGTATTGATGATGATACTTGGCGAAACACCAATTTGTTGGCTAGTCTTCCCACTCGAAATGCACACTATGCATGAAGAATTTCAATCAGAAGCCCGACCATATTGCCCAAACTCATCTTTCATCACAAACTGTGATATTCTTCGTCCTCACGTTTTTATTCTCATCATCTCATAGGAAAATATCTCAACACTAACTAAACTTCGACTTCTTGCTTTGAATAAATTATATCAAACATGCTATTATCAGCATGTTCATGTTTAATTTTCGTTTAAAAAATAAAGAAAAATATATATTGTGTTTTCATTTTTATATTCTTGCATATGTACATGGTTTGACTTAAATACCAGTTTTGTAAACGCACTTCTTAGGTAATTTAGAAACCCCACCTTTTTAAATTGATATTTTATAAGTTAATGTGACAGCAAGTTGATATATTTCATATGTGCATATTTCAGTGACTTTATTTTTTTAGCTTTAAGTTATTCTTCACCTTTGTAGACATTAAAAATGAAATTTGTAACGATGGTTTAATTTTGATATTTTGATCACAGAGGAAAGTAAACAGGAAGGAAATGATGTTGGTATCGCGAACGCGATGCGTTCTTAGAACTAAAAAACACTTTTTCCAATGTTATATTGTATCACTAGCTAGAATTTCTTTGGGAGGTTGTCAGTATTTCGCATCAAATTTGAATCCCCCTTAAAGTATGTTTTTATATTTTAAGGATGTATGGATCCGGACGGTGTATGTAGAGATATAGGATTTAAATACAGCAGCCACTGTATCGGCTTCAAGTGTGAACGAGTTGAAGAAAATTATCAATCAGTAGTGAAATTTGTCACGTTCGAAGCTGGTAAGTCTACTCATTTACATACATGCACTTATCTAAGTATGTAAATAGGCTTTAGCCCTGATAAGGCCATCACGAAATCTAACTCAAAATCCACTTTATATGGAAAGGTTTATGCTTATATCAAAGTTATTGATAATCAGTAAACATATATATTCTTTTCTTAATATAAAAGCACATACGTTTGAAAATAAAATGCTGGTCATGTCTATCAATCTTTATCCTCATGCATGGAAAATGAAGCAGACTGTAATTTTGATATACTTAGTTGAAACCTGAAATGGCTGTAGGATTGTAATATTGAAATACTTAGTTACAATTTGATATGAAACAGGCTGTAAAAACGATGGAAAGTGTGTCCCCCTTGGTGATGCGATTAAAGATGGCTGTAATGAGTTAGTATGCACATACGACGACTCCACACAGTTGTATGATTTCGTCATCGACTCTATACGTAAGTATTCAACTCCTTTTTAATTTCAAATTATTGAAATAATGACAATGATTCAAAATGCCAATGTCATTATTATGTCACAACAAACACTTCGTTATTCAGACACCATTTTGCTTTCTTATTAAACAAAATCACGTAATCCTTGTCATTGTAATGGGATGTATTTTAAACTACTATAAAATATGTAAGATTTATTGCAGTTGTGAGATCGCACAACGTTACACGATATTCGAGGTACGCACTATGTCTGCACGACAGGAAAACTGGACGCAGTATTATATATTGCACATCTGTGTGCATGGTGTCCGTTTCTATTTCATAGATGTGGGATTCTATCATGGTTGATATCAATTTATCAATGACTTATAAATAAACGTAAGATGGTGTTTATTTATCATCTAAACATACGAGAATACAATTAGGTATGATTCCTATCTAAGCTATTAATCTATAGGTTAGTTACATGAAGATCTATCACGCAGACTGAATAGCTCTATACACCTGTAAATAAGAATATATTGTTCACAAAGTGTCGCAGTCTTAGTGTTGGAGCAATAATTATAAATGTGAAATTTTATTTTTCGCCTCTTTTTGTTCGCCTTGAAGCATCAAAAATCTCAAATCTCAAATTTCCTTTCACATTTCACTGTCATTTTGCTATCAACTTTTACACAAATATATATATATATTCAGGAAAATTTTAAAGTGTTGTGTTTGTTGCATGTTAGACTTAGCCGGTACAGACCTACCATGTATCTACCCGTATGTTTGTAATTTGTGCTGCCTGAGGCACACCACTTACCACTCTATAAGGTTTGAAAATATACACTCCTCACTAGAAAGACTCAGATATGCAGGGTCCAGTGTGTATTTCGATTTTTATAATTACCGATCAATTTTTGATATGCTTGTGATCGTTATTTAATCATAACTAAACGAGTTTTCAATTCGTTATATAAGTCAACAATTTTTACCAAACCGCACAAAATGTTCGATCCTGTTTCACAGTTGTGCACTAGATACTGTATTGTACATGTGTGTGGACGATGCATGGACGGTGTAAATAGGTTTAAATAATTTTCAGTTTATTGAACTTTTGGTGAGTTTAGCTGGTACTTTCATTCAAATGTCAACAACCTCGTATAAAACATATATATATATCACAAATAAATGATTTTGCAAATGTAAATTGATTTTCAAGTTGTTCCCCCCGTGACATCAAAATGTAATCTTCACGATTATGACTTGTTCTGGTATCAAGAGATGACTTCACATAATTGTATTCCGTACGGCAGTATTGTAGGGTTTTGACTAATTAACACGATAATCGTGATATTTTCAGAATGCGACTTCGAAGACCAATGCTATGAGATAGATGCGGAATGGGAAAATAAGGATGAATGCACCAAGTTTAAATGCATTTACAATGAAAAAACAAAGAAAGCTGTTGTTCGTGAAAGAGTTGCAGGTATAATTTGTAACGATGTTTGTTTACCTGGCAGGTATTTCTGTTTCTGTTTCTGAAATTCAATAAAGCGATATGTAAACAAATCCTTTGATGTTAAATGCTTAATTCATCAGAAAATCCTGACAAGTTTTCAGAAAAACACATTTATTTCTTCGATCCTCAGGATGTCAAATGGACGGAGGATGTGTACCTAAAGGAGGGGCTGTCGGAAAAGCAAAATGTATTGAATACGAGTGTAATCGCAAAGGTGGCTTCGATTTGATAAGCGCAGGTATGAAAAACACAGCTTGCACATAGAAAGACAAAGCACTAGTGTGCGGAATACCTTGTTTTTATCCAATCATGACGAGCATAAACGGTTATTCTTAACATTGCTGTTACTTCTTTCAATCAAAAAATACCTTTTAGACCTTGATTTAAACAATAAAACGATATGTTCGATTAACAGCGATAAAAACGTGAACCGCCCTTGTTTTCGAAAAAGAAAATTATTTCGATCATATACGGCATTTCTGCTTCGAAAGTAACGACATTTAAATAAAGTTTATTATTTAGTTATTGATAATCCTCAATAAACTACCCATGTTTTATTATCAAATATGCCAGGATGTCCAGTTAAGGATGAGTGCAAGATGATAAACTCTACATGGCGCAAGGATGGGGTTTGCGCTCAATTTTACTGCAGGCAAGGAGAGTATGAGGACGGCTATATCACAACAATGAAGATTAAAGAACTCGGTACGTAATTAAAATATAATACTTAATCTTAAACTTGGTTATCTTCGAAGTTATGTTTTACATGTAACTCTTTGCAACTTGTTTAAAAGTTTATAACTACTGACGCGTATTTCTTATTGATTGTTATTCGTTTCATGTCTCTTCACTTACAGAATGCCGTGATTTCCAAGGAAATTGCATGAAAGAAGGTGAAACAATCGTAGATGATTGCCTCACTTACGAATGTGGATCTGACGGCAAATTAAAGAGAACAGAATCAGGTAAATAACAATAAATCACACGATACTGATGTCAGGGACTAGACTTGATGAAAATGAAAAGAAGATTGTCGACATTAAACCAAAACTGTGATTCAAACTTAAAATCAACGTAAAGAGATAATTATTTGCAAAAACATATTCATGTAGAAACGGTAAAATGAATAAAAACAGAATTCTGTAAAATTAGTGGTCGAACAAAGTAATACCACGTAATATATAAATGGTAGAATGGTGGTGACAAGGAACACTTATAATAATTAATCACATCGTGCCAAAACCAAAAAACATCCTTCAGAAATTAACCATTCCAGTATGTACGAAGGAGGGATGTAAAATATTGTAAACCTGTAATAGTGACGTTACAGTTTGTAAAAACATTTAATGTTTCAGTTTGACCATAACTAGGATACATACGATTGTTGCTTTTGTTTCATTACTGCCATATCAGAGACTTAGCTACCATTCCTCTTTTAAAGATGACACGAAGTGTTTATCGAATTGTTTTTCAACGCAAAAGCATTCGCTCTTCACGTTTGAATAAGAATGACGTAGTCAGAATATCTCATTCATTATCTTTATGTTGACATTGTAGCATGCAAGTACAATGGAGTGTGTTACAATATTGGCGATAAATGGGAAGACAGGGGCAAATGTAAAGAATTCACTTGCAAAGCTGACGACATAGAAGGAGCTGTATATTTCGGACTAACAAATGGTATGTTGAAGTACCATTTAAATGTGTTTTATAAACGCGATTGATGTATAGCAAATTTAACTAATCTTTCTTGTAGATATGTTTTGATCTTTCCCCTTAACCTCAGTTGTCTGTTATCAGTATTTTCATCACCGGCCAATTAGAATAGGAATTCTTCGTTAAGCTAATATCATAATGAATTTCCATTCTTGGTAAATCATTAATGTAAAGCCCGAGACACTCATATTTCAATATTATCGCTATCTATCCCGTACATAATAAGGAATCAACTCGATATGCCATTAGCTGTAAAAATTGGAGAGAATTTGCTCTAACAATACAATAATCAACATATACAGGATGCGTAGACTGCGATGGAGTATGCTACAAGCCTGGAGAGTTGCGTAGTGTGGACTTTAGCTGCGTCACAGAAATCTGCGGTGTTGATCATGTGTTACGAGCCAATTGTAAGTACAAGTGTAATATATTGATTTTAAAGTTGTTAAGTGACCTACAAGATACAATATATAAAATTCACATATGAAGAACACGTGAGTCAATATTTCAAACAATTGCTTGTTTTCAAACGTTCATCATGACGTTGTTATACTTTATAAGGGATAGAGGAACAACATTTAACCCCTAGAACGCCGGCAATTACCAAATCAACATTGATATATATTTATACTATATAAACCACAATTAAAGATATAAGTGTATGATGCTTATTTCTCTAACATGTGTTGCAGAGCTGATTTCGATTTCAGTTTCATTACGTTTTTTTCTATATTGTATACCTCAATGCCAATACTCCTCATTGGCCATTCTCCTGATGAAAGTGACAGCGAAATAAAAGAAACGTCACAGATAAATTTTCTTACTGGATGTGATATATGAACTACCATTTAAATGAAGCTTACAGTCTAATTTGGTTTTCATGATCTGTGTCGTACGGTACGCCATTTAAATCAAAGTTAATACATGGCTCCCTTAATATACAGCACACCTCGATAGAAGGCTAGTTGTGTGCCACAAAAGTCCATGTTGAGTCAGTTTGTTTAGTATCACTGGTTTATATATAACCCACCTGAAGTAATGTCCATAATCTGGAATAACATACACATATATAAAAGTATACATAAGAAATTTATTTTGAAACACGACATAAAAAACACCACTTTAAAAAAAAAAAATTCATAAGCCTCATTCAAGATGTAGATTCTGACAAAAAAAATGGTGACAATTGTTTTTAAAATTGAATATTTTTTGAAGAATGTATTTTTATTTAAAGTGTGTGAATACAAATCCACGTGCTACGAAATTGGTCAGGAATGGATAGATTATGACGACTGTCTGACGTTTTCCTGTATAGAAGACCCTATCACTGCTGCAGCTGTCATGGAAGAAGTCCCATACGGTGAGATTTAGTCTTAACGTTAATATGGAGACATGCTGGTGTAATAGTCGTGACATCAACTATCATGAAGAGACGGAAAAGAATTTCCGAATGATAGTAAACTGTAAAAAAAAAATCTGCTCGTGATTTTGTTTGAAAAGGTTGAAAACTGGCATGTTTTGTTTACTTCAGTATTGTCTGGTATAATATTTATGATATAGCTGGATAAAGAGAAAAAAATCCAAATGTTAGATAAATGTTTAAAATCCGCTTTTTGCTAAATATTATATGACAGACACTATATATTTCAGTTCTTAACGTACTTAACTAGTTCGTTATGTTTCAAGTATTAAGAGCTTCAATAGGTTTTTGAAAGCGAATCATAAGACATAAACATTATATAATGATGTACAAAAATGAAGAACCTGTTTTACTTAAAACTAGTAACGACCGTTATATGACTAAAACCAGCAATTTATGTTATGAAAGAATTTCAAAGTTGTGCCATAATCAATAAAATCTAGAAATCATAACAGGAGATAGCTTCAGAAAAAATGAACGTATATTACAGTTAGAGAAGCCAAAGTTAAACACAGTCACACGCATCTTTTAGATTTAAAAGTCGCCGACTTTAGATCAATCAATAACTCTCATGTTTAGTACTTAGGATCCATTTACTAAAGTACTTTATTAATGTGCCAACAAGCGGATAAGAAAATGTCTCAAAATATAAATCATTCAAATGGATTGCTTACTGCATTTATAGCAACATAACAAAATAATAATAATTCAAATCTCAAAGGCAATATATGACCTAAGGAGAGATCTACACTGGAACTCATGAAAACGTACCAGGAGAACGAGACCATGTGTCTCGGAAGAGTAAACGTTTTCTGCTTCATCGACGACATTTGGCTTTATGTAAATCTTGGTCAATCCAAGTTTGTAATTCCACGTCCCCAATCGAGAACAACAGATTAAACAAGCAAACTAACGAGCATAAAACACGTCCAGCTTCATATCGCACAAAGAAATAGAACATTTCTCGATGATAGCACTACGGCGATCGTAGAACTTCCTTAAAAGTTTCGTCAAGCTTCATCTCTTGAGGACTTGTTTTGACGACTTACAGGAAAATAGTGATAATAGGAACATATCTTATCATATCGAATTAATTGTGACATGTAAACACCATAGGTTGTGGCTGCAGAAAAGTTGGTATCCAGAAATGGAAAAATCACAGTATGGAAATTGATATCATCACGCTTAAGGCACAGCTTTGTTCAACGCTGTTGGAAAAGTTAAAGATAAACGGCTAATGAAACAAAGTCTTAAGTGTCAAATAAAATAAGAAAAACAATAGTAAATACTATGTGAAAATGGAAGAATTTCGTATTTCAAACAAAGTATCGTCAAAATTGAAGGAATGGATTAGTGTGTAGAGAAATATCTTAACGATTTTTTTTCAATTTTGAATTTATTCGAGGTCTATTAAGATAGTAAATGCATTGTTATGTTTAATAAAGATATAATTGTCACGATGTATGATACATAGTCAACATTTATTTATCATTATTTATTTATCTATTTTCATTATAAACAGTATACTTACGCAAGGGGTGCATCGGCAGTAGGGTATATATATAGTTATAGATATGTCTTACATTCTAATCTACGACCATGAATGCTTAGTACGATGTTAAAACCGGTTCCAGGTCATCATTGTCTTATTTTAGTTTTAGGAAAACACAAAGTCGCAAAAATGTTGAAGGTACATTTCTAATTAAACGTTTCAATTGTTTCATTTGCATAATTATTCTTTACGGATGTGCACTTGAAAATTGTTTGCAGTAATTTTTTGAGGAGGGAAACTTTAATTAATGAATACATTTCTGTTTGTATAGGGTGTTTGTATGAAAAGAAATGTTACGCTCCAGGAGAACAAATCAAGAAGGGCTGTGAGACGTTCCAATGTATGTCTGATGGAAAAGGCTTCAACTCTATAGCCGAAGGTTAGCTTTGTTACTTCCCTAAAAACAACAAAAAATATATAGATGCGAAAGCATTGTACTATTTAACTTTTCATAAACTAATGACGGAAAATAATATTTGATATCCTATTATGCAACTTTTGTCAACTGTTCATGAAAACTGCCAAGCTGTTATCATCGTTACGTCATCGATTTCGACATTTATCTCAATTTAAACTTTGCATAATTACTTTAATTAGTAACGTTTCAGAGAAAAACATCAACGATGAATAGTGCATGTTAGCTTTATACCACTAGTATCTTAGTAAACATATTAACTAATATTGTGTTGAAGTAATTACTGTTAATTACTCGATAACGACCACTATCATTAATATGTCATAAGTGAGACTTGATTTACTTTGCGCAATGACTTAGATCGCGTTTTGTTACAAAATAGTACAAATTCTTAGAAATTGTGTCATTATGGTACAGACATTGTTTTTCTTCTTCTCAGATAAGGTCAATGATATGTATTATTTCATTGCCATACAATGCTAACTAAATGTGTAAAGGGAAGCAAATCTTGGTATTACATAGCGATACTTTAAGTTATATTTTCATCAATCGGTACATGGCATTTCAACTTCGTTACGAGTATCATGTAAAATGTAAACAGTACACTTTTACATTCCTTGAATCTTCTATATGAACGGTTGATTGATTGCATTGTATAATTGTAGAGTGTCCATGGAAAGATGGATGCAAAGCTGTTGGTTCAAAATGGTTCAGTAAAGATGAGTGTGTCCAATATGAATGTGTTGAAAAAGAAGAAGGAGTGTCAGTTGAGGAAATTATTCACGGTAAAAGATATTATGACTATGTTATCAAAGTGATACCGAAATAATATTTCATGTTTATATGATTTTAATGAATTCAATTGAGAAAATGTCAAAAACTATTACTCAAGTCGGTTGTGGAAACAAATAGATTTTAACAGCTTCCATAATCATTATTTTACTGCTAACATTCCATATTAATAGATATATAAACAAATTAGGAATTCTATCTTTATTAGTTTATTGGTTATGTAAGACTGAAATTTTCCGTTGATAAGCTGAGAATAGGTAAAAGCTATTGGTTGCATCATTCTCTGAACATCCCAAATTGTTAGTGACCTATAGAGACCAACCTCGGCAAGAAATAATTCGTGTTACCTAGTTTCATAGAATTAATATGGTGATTAGAACATTGTTTCAAAAAATCTTCTAAATAATGATTTTCAATTTTTGTAACAATTGTAAATAACATTTTCTCTATAAAAGGTTGTGAAGATGCATACAGGGAGAAGTGTTGGAGAAGTGGTGCTGAAGTAGCTGATGTCAATGGTTGTATCAAGTTTGAATGTGTTGACGGCAAGATGAAGCCTTTATCAGTTGGTATGTTCTACTGTTAAAACATTTAACCGGAGAAAGATTTCGAAATATATGTCTTGGACTTTAATTGAATTTTTCTTATCCATATATGAATAATTCAATCTTGTTTTTAGAAGTAATTCATTAATTAGTTAATTAACTTAAACGTTTAACAACCTAATATCAAATGCTTTAAAATTCAAAGAAAAAACGACATAATCTGAATATCCCTTTAAATTGTTGGAAGCATGACATGATGCAAGTATCTATTAATACCAACTTAAGGGATCAAATCCTATATAAAATATGACGTCATTACGAATTTGAAATAGAAAATGATCATGGTTTGTTGTAAAGGTTGTCCCCATGATGGCAAGTGTATGAATGTAAGTGAGGTGATTAAGGACGAGAAGGCCTGTATACGTTATGAATGTGTTGTGGAGGATGAAGGAGCCGGCTTCATTAAAACAGTGAAGAAGGAAAGACCTGGTGAGTTATAAACAGAGAACTAGATATCTATCACCCATTACTGTCCACTTTTGTCATATATTTTGATAGGAATGTAAAACAGAAATTTCTACTTATTAATTACTTTAGGTTAACATTAAGGTGTGGGATTTATGCAAAACAATGTATACTCTACACAAGCTGTGGGGTGACGTTAGAGTAAATTAAGTAAAAGAACTTTAATAGGCATGGAGAGAAATAAGACACGAGACGCATTTGGATTTTTAATATTTTATAAGCGGGAAAAAGGTGATGTGTACTTAATCATCTTAAAAGCTATATTCAGTTTCTTATATACAATATGTGATTTGTATTCGCCCGTGTCTTTCAGCATGCATGTCAATTGTATTTCATAGGTTGTCTCGACCACGAAACCTGCTACTGGCGCGGTCAGGAGAAAACAGAGGCTTGTGTGACATATAAGTGTTTTAAAAATGGTTTCCGAATCGTGGAGGCAGGTAAGGTAGATAAGGAAATAGCATATTGCGTTCAGATTCATGTCTGATATGATGGAAAATATTTATGTCTTTCCATATCCATGCTGAGTTCCATATTTCCGTCACTCCGACGCTGTTGTACCACAATCAAATATGCCTTGTTTGAAAATTGTCCCCATTATCCCAAGCTTTCATTGTACAGTTTCTTATAATATGAAGTTCTTCGTTTCTCGTGTAGTTGTCATAAATGGTCATTGATGCAATGATAACTTTCGTCAACATCATTTAATGACAATTATCGTTTGAATATCCCATGTATTACTCTTATGCTTCATGTTTATAAGCAAAACATTGACTTTCTTTTGAATTTTGTGGCATTCTTGAGGCGAATATCGATTGTTTATATCAAACGAAGCCGATATGGATATATATTTTACCTAAATTATCTTCTGCTGTTTTCCGGAGAATGTCATTCTTCAATAGGAGTTATGTTGATAAGTTTCGTTTATGTGTTTGAAGGATGTGAATTCCGAGGTAGTTGCAAGTACCTTAATTCCAAGTGGGAACATGACAAAAAATGTTTGACCTTTTCCTGCATCAAGAAAGATGACGCTGAAATTCCAAAAGTGAGAAGGTTTCTTTGGGGTAAGTTACAATTTCATATGTAATTCTGTTATTGTTAGAGCAAATACGAAACGAAATAAAAATTATTATCCGATCCTATATACTTGCTAAACCATCAGAGATCTTAACTTTATTGGATCTTCTTGTGAGCAACAAGGAAACGTCAACATGTCAGCATAACCATGACCGAACTCAAGTTTTAGAAAAGTATGGCAGAATATGAACAAAGGAAATTCTTGAAAAAGTACAAGGTGAATAAAACATGGCTGTTAAGAAGAGTCAAAGAGATCACGACGATAACCATAAAACTTCTCCATAATTTTCATTAACCTGTGTCTCTAGAAACCCTGTGTTATGAGTTTTGCACAAAAATATTTATTTTTTAAACATGCCCTTCAGACCAATTTATGGATGATACTCTGTCCAGGTCGCTTCTTGGTTTGATGACAATTTCAAATGAGATCGTCTTAATGTTATTCAAACAATATTTGCAAATATGGTTTTGTTGAATGTCTTTCAACAAATTTTATATAGAGTCTTACTTCTGTATCCATGTCTGGAAATTTAGAAAACAAGTGAGTTACTGCCCCTGCTTATTAATAATCGAAGATAAGTATAAAGGCAAACACTTGAATACGTATTTAAAACTGTTGACAAAGAAACAATTGTGTTCCCAAACCAGAAGAAAAAAGACGTGAATGAGCACGAAGAACACAGGAATCGTACGTATTGTGCTAGATGTTATTACCTACAGTTATACAAAAACGAACGTAAATTATTTTTATAAGAGCATCTTTAATGTGAATAACCTTGTATGTTTTAGGCTGCAAAGATGAGCAAGGTAGATGCCACAAATTCGGAAAGCAGCAAAAAATTAACGATTGTGTGACTTACGAATGCGAAAGAAGGAAAGGATATGGTGCTAAGTTCTTTCCGAAAGAAGTTGGTAAATATCACTTATTCTTTTTTTAATGTTCAGTATGGAACATGGCAGCAAATTTCATCGAATTATGGTGCAAGTCTCAAGATAATGCCTTAGATGAACAGCATTTTATCTCTATTTCGGCTGTAGTTTCACCTTGCCTGAGGGCTAGGAGGTTTCAACCAGAAGTATCTCTCACAAAACCGCAAAATGATGAAGTGTTTGATTATATCAAATCATTTCAAAATTGTTAAGAATAATACAAGTATTACGTGAAAAAATTAAATCCTGCATATAATAATATTGGTGACTTCATTCTATAGGTTGTCAATTCCGCAAAAAGTGCAAAGCTGTAAATGATGTATGGGTTAACAAGAATAAGTGCGTCAAGCAGACATGCTTGTTCTCCGAGGGATCAGATCTTCCGGAAATCCAGAGTTCACCTTACGGTAAATTGTCTTACTACTAAACTGTATATCTGTATTGTTCATATATTTTGTCATCTTAGAACTCCGAATCAGTAAATCGCATGCTTATTTTTACATATTTTCCCATGATAAATACAATTATTTCTTTTATTTGGGGTGATTTTTTTCTTTTGTAAAAGATTGAAGAATTGGCTAGTTTAACATCATTTGTTTTTTACACATTTCAAGTGAACTGTGAACGCTTTGTAAAAATACCCCCCAAGAAACAAAGATGAATAAGTGCACATGCAATCCAGAGTGACATGGGCGTCTGTAACTTTAGACATATACTTCTAATTTTGGATTAGGCGTCAGTCGACGCTGAATCTGAATTTATAGAGAATTTACTACCGACATGTACAATATGTTTATCACCTATCTTTAATTCTTTCCCGGAATCCTCGCAGAGCAACACATTTGATATCATTCAACGTTTCAAATTATTTACAAGTCGACACTTTGAAAGGAAAGGAGGAAGAAATAAATAATATCACATATGGTGTAGAAATATTGATCTCTTTTCCACCGCCTCAGGTTTTTTTCTCTGAGGAGGTACTTCTGCCTATTAGCTTTTAATAGTTGATCTATAACTCAAACGTTCGCCGTATTTTAAAAGTAAACGACACCTCTACATGCAAGAAAATGCCATTCATTAATTCTGACCATAAATCATTGTTCTGCTCCATTCTACAGGTTGTAGAACTGGCGGACAGTGCTACGCATTCGGTGAGCGAATTACTGACGATGAAAATCAGTGTGTCACATATGAATGTACCAAATACGAAATATTTTCACCTGTCGAAACCGGTAAGAGACCGACAAGAATTTGTTTTTTCATATTTTTCATCTGTTCAATGCTTTGTAGCTGTATTATCTAATTTGTTCTTGATAAAAGTAAAGACATAAATATTGTGTCTGGTTTGTTAATTTCTAATGAAAAAAAAAATCAAATTTGTGGGTTGTTTTGTAACATACCGTAAATGATAAGTTGTTATATTATGTTCTGGTTATTAATGAAATATTTATTTATGAATAATGAAAGGTTCATCATAATCACAACGCGTTTTTATCACAGGGTGCATGTACCAAGGTAAATGTAAACGAGACCGTTCCAGGTGGATCGATAGGTCATCGTGCATCCGTTACAGGTGTAAATCAGAATCCGTCAGTCCATCACAGGTCATCATGCACACGTATGAAGAAAAAGGTATTGTATACTAATCATTGTTTTTTTAATTGAAAAACTGTTGTAGTTAATGCCCTTTAACATTGATTCGAATTTATCTATTTTACGTAAGCATGTATTGACGACGTTCAACATATTCGTCACTGTTACAGGTCATGTTTTCAATTCTGTATCTTTGGAACAATTCCTCGAGCTTGCTGACAGTAGACTCGCATACATCCTGTAATTCATTTTAAAAGTGACACAGCTCAAAGTAACCATAAGTACTTTTCTCTTAAATCATCCTATATTTGAAAGTTTCAAAACTTATCGAACACTGGAGCTAGTACATCTCCCGTATTAGATTATTCCTTTTCTCTGTTCCAATTTTGATTTCCTCATTCGCCTCCAAAGTTTCAATATGTATGCCCTTAGTAACAACTGACAAGTCCGAGAAGGACGAAACAACTATATAATGCAGTTAATTGTCTATTTAAATTTTTTCATGTCTTATGTTAGATTTGAATTGAAAATAATATGTGCTTGTTTGTTCTTTTACGGTCCTTTGAAATGAAAAATCGACAGTACCATTGCTTTTGTTTTCTTATACAAATGAAAAATGAAATTGTGTTGTAGTATTGCATTTGTTATATGACATAGCACAAAGCAATATATATTCATACATAGAATACATTTTATATCGTTTAGATATTCATTATTGGTTTGTAAGTTATTTAGATAAGAAATCGTTTTATATTGGTTTCAGAGTCATTACCAAATATTAATTTGTTGTGAATGCTCAAGGTTGTTTTCATATTTGTCCTTTTACGAAACTTAATCGATCTGCACAATTGTGATTCCATCAGAACTTTCGACTCTTTAATAAAAAAAATAATTTGTCCTTTTCAGGTTGTAAGGACTTCGATGGTAACTGTATGCGTCCTGGAGAGACAACTGTTAAGGACTGTACAACGTACCAATGTAATCCAAACCGGGAGACACTCGTCATTGTTAAAGAAGGTTGGGCTAAGTTTATCGATGTTGAAATACAGTTTGCAAATTGTCATTAGTTATCTGCAACGGATTCCTGATCTTGTTTCATATCGGAGTCAATTTCTTGATTCTACATTCATAAGGATTTCGGCTTTAAACCTTATCATTGTTTTACCATGTGCAGTTTGACATTGGTATAAAATATTATTTCTTTTCCGGTGGTTTGCTATATCAAGAAGAAACTTTCTTTACATACTTGATAGTGTTGATATTAATTTTAAAAAACTGTTAATTAATGTGGAACACATTTCTATTTTGTTATAGCATACTTAATTAACAATTTACAGATTGTCAAGATGGTGACCAATGCAGACCCCTCAATTCTACATGGTTTGATCCAGAATCGTGCACTGATTTCAGATGTATATACTCGCCTGTATTGAATGATATCATTATTGATGCCAAAACAACAGGTAAACCATGTTTAAGTAATTAATGGTTTGAGGGATTGTTGCACGGAAGGGACATCAATATAGCTTATAGAAATAACTTGATATAATGTAAAAGGATTAGGTTTGATCAGGTTAATATTTTGACGAACAGCCCGAAGATTTTATTTTACAAAAGGCATGAAACGGACTGTGAATTTTATCTATCAGTTTTGCCTTCATGTTTTACATCATTATATCATCCATGAAAATGATAGATATCACAATCTCTCTATACAGGCCTCAATCAAACACTCATAGAAAGATGTTGAAATAAGCTTTAAACCGCGTTGTACTGATATTGTCTTGCACGTATAACACTCTTTAAGGTTACAAGTATGCTAATCATTTGTAAATGACATGCTTTCCTTTGTTAGGCTGTAAAAATGATGATGGGCGATGTTTCCAGAAAGGAGAAAAGAAGGAAGAAGAATGCAACAAATTTCTATGTAACAAAAACTCAAATTTTAAGCCCGTCGAAGTAGGTGAGTATTATAGTAACCACACGCATTACATACTGCATGCAATGTAATCTGTCAATGCTGTAGACGCTTCAGATTGCGTGTCGTATCTGAGAAGGTATCAGAAATTACCAACTATGTATAACATTTCCAGGTTGCAAGTGGAGAAACAAATGCTACAAGATCGGCGAGTCGTGGCAGAAGAACTGTGTGGTGTATACATGCGAGCTCGTATCGAAAGGAATCAACTTCGTGGAAACACATGTGAATGCTTCTCATGGTAGATTTTATTTTTAGTTTGAGGCTGAAATTCGTTTACCGTATTCATAGCCAATTGTTTCGTATATACAATTTCATAACACACAGAATATTTGTCACAAATATCCCGCTTTGTTCGCCATAATGATCACACCCACATTGCAATATTATAAGAATACATAGAAAGCATTTCTCTGCTGAATTTTCCACCAGATATTCTTAATCTGCTGAGGAAAATCATAAAGTTTGGATGAAATTGTTGTGTTTTCTAAGAATGCATATCGATAATTCAATGCTATCGTCTCTATAGAAGATTAAATGCACCTAATGCATAGATTACATTGTTTCCTTAAATGTGAATCATTTTGACAGAATTTGGGGTTTTAGTACCATGCCACATAAAAACATTCATTTTGTAAAGTTACGATTACTCTTACCATTTAGGCTGTCTATGTGACGGAGGTGGTTGTTACAGACCTGGTGATAAGCGTACCGACGGATGCCTTGAGTATGTCTGTCAGGAGGGTGGAGAGTTCGAGATTTCGAACTTCGGTAAGTAAAAGGCACTGTGTGACAATGTTGATTGTTTGGTGGTTGTTTTGAAAATTTGAATGAGTGTTTTTTAGATGTTGATTTATTCAATGATTATTTTTATTTTATATCTATAAACTTTCATTTGATTTTAATGGTGATATTTATCTACGTTTTCAGCTTGTACAACCGACGAAGGGTGTTTGAAACCAGGGGACTTCTACATGGATAAGAAAGAATGTGTGGAATACACCTGTAGCAGGAAGACCAGATCTCTTGAACCAGTGAACCGAAGTAAGTTTATCAAAAAGAATATAACTTTTGATAAGAGCATGAAAGCCACATTCCAAATTATAGTTTAACATCGAAAAAAATGCATTTGTATTTCAGTAATAGTTCACAATGTTATAAGTTCATAATTATGTCTAATAGCAAATGAAGTCACTTAGTTTTGATGCTATACGTCTCATCCATATTGTACCATTGAAGCAAATAAATGCAATGCTGGTTCGTATTGTTTGAAGTGTGTATGCCCCTGTACTGCATGCGTTTTTCTATCATTCTTTGTCCTACATGTCCATTGCGACGAATATGAATTATACTGACCGTCCAATGATACCTATGATATCGTTACTACATTGCGCACGTGTTCGAGGTGAGTACTCTACTGACTATGATGCTTTGTCATTTGTAATCGATTTTTGATGTCAGGTTACCCAATATCTTTATAATTCTCAGGCTGCAAGTGGAAAGGTGAATGCAAAGAGATAGATGCTAAGTGGTTTGATAAAGATCAGTGTCAAGGATATAGATGTGTCTACAGCCCAGCAGACAACGATGTCAAAATTGTAGAAAGAGTAGCAGGTATTATTACTGAGTCATATATTTCATCTGTACACGTATTTGCGATTCATGTCTGATGGTGGTCTGGAAGGTTTCTCTCTTTTTGGAATTCATTATTTTTATTGAAGCTCTCTTACATGTATTACATGGTTTGAGTTAAGGTGACTGAAAAGCACGTGTACACGTTCGTGATGCAAATATATAACGTATTGATATGTAAGACAATATCAGCGCTGAAGGAACGATTGACATATAGCGAGAACATCTATCAAAATACATTACTTAAAATTAACGCTGTACTCATTATAAATGATTCTATCCATTTTTGTGATTGTATGTTAATGATGTATAATGTTTTCGTGTAAGGTTGTCGAGATGACGAAGGTCAATGTAAAAGAGCGGGGACGGAACTTGCAACAACCAACGAATGTGTCAAGTTTAAGTGCCGAGGTGGAGAATTCATACCGATAAAAGTTGGTATGTGAATATTATGATGATAAATGTAACAATTCGTCATTAGATCGTATTACATTGATTCCCGACACATCGTAGACGTTTAATGTTCCATCTCATTCATTTTGATTTAATGTGGCTTTGTTGACACGTCTTCATAGCAACCTACGTTTATGTAAAATTGGCGTTGAAAAAGATTTGCAATACTTAATAACATTTAAATTTCATATCCTCTACTTATAATTGCTGCATAAACACTAAAATACATTATTTTTGTAATTCAAAACATGAAGTAAGCTGCATTAAATAATTAAAAATGTAAATACAGATGATATTGGTATCAACAATTAGGTTATTATGTAAAATCAAATTTATTTGAATTTTTTTTAACATACGATTATGAATCAAAATTTATAGGTGTTCTTTCGAGAGCCGATTTTCAAATTATTATATTGGATATTGTCGCTTTTTAAAAAATTAGGTTGTGAATGGGAAGGAAAATGTGCCCCTCAAGGTTCATCGTGGCTAGAAGATTGCGTTCAATATAGCTGTCAGATAGAAGAACAAGGACCAACATATATAGAAACAACGGTAGTAGCACACCATGGTTAGTATCGTCGTTACCAAAAATCTCGTATGTTTATTGGTCATATATGATGACGTAGCTATCGCCTTTTAAAATATGCCGGAAGAAATTGAATGTTATACTGTACTTCGCAACACAAATGCTATTTTTTCCATCGTAAATATTTCTGGACGTATTCAAGTTTTATTTTTAAAAAAAGATTGTTCGCAAGAGCCTGCACTTGCATAATATCTAATTAATCTGTATTATAATTGTAACATTTACATGATCATGAGCGGTGTGGTTTTACAATTCACTTTTCATTCCGATTAAATATCTGAGTGTTTCATTATCTAAAACACATAACTAGGCAATCAGATGATTCTATTTCAGTATTGTCATTTTCTCTCTCACCTTTTCTTACAACAAGGTTGTTATGATTGCACGGGAACCTGCTATATGCCAGGAGAGTTCATCAATCAGGGATGTTCAGTTAGGGAATGCATGTGGGGAGGTTTCTTCCAAAATATCAAAGTTGGTGAGTTTCGCAGTTTTTTCCCCTATTTTGTCCTCTTGTCAATGAGATGAAAAAAGTGTGCTAAGCATTGATGTTAAGTCTGTAATTCAAGTTTTCGTGTATCGGATGAATTTATATAATGGTAATTGACCGTTTTTATGCATATGACGGGGAAAAACAATGTTTCCGATATTGAGCATCTAATTTGAAATAAATAAATTTATGCTTATTTGTGAAATATTTAGTTTACAGCTGCTTAAAAGAAGATCCTTTTAAAAGGAATTAACCAACAAATCCGTTTCTGCCAATCAAATCTCCACTTCCTGCTATCAACGTCATGTGCAGACGAATATCGCATTCGCCTGCTGAAAAATGTTATTATCCAACATATAAATTCCATCTCAGAAAGTTACAAATATAAGATGTGTTACTGATCAATGGACACGTATCAAACTGTGATATTTCTTCCATAAATCCACATGTCTTGCGCAGCTAGTAAACTGAATTCTGCTTTTTGCTCATCGATAGGATGCATGTCACAATCAGGAGAGTGCGTTGATATTGGCGAAAAGATTAAATATGGTGAACGAGAACAGATTTGTGGAGACGATGGAAATCTAACACCTGCTGAACCACGTGAGTATATTCTGGGAAATGCATTCCGTCGTCATCAAATAATACTGTTGTGGGATATATGTACAAATATGTAACAGCGCAGCTAAGAATATTTCCTAATAAGGACATAAATATATAGATTGGACACGTAGATCTTTCTGATAAAGACTGAATATTTATATGAATATTAAGTGTTTTGTTTACAAAGTGTCACGTGACCAACCTCGGTGCTATATATGTAATTATTAAATGGACGTATCTTTTTGGCTCGCCAATGAATCATCTATCTGGATTTGGACCTGTCACGTTTATACCTGTAAATTTCGTTACCCTAGGCACACCACTCTCCACTCTCTAAGGTGTGAAACTATACTTTAAAAGTAATTAATGCAGGGTCTAGTGTTAATTCGAAAAACTGTCAAATTGAAAATTCCTATTATCACTATTTAGTCATTTAGTTTTCCGTTTAATATTCAATTCGTAATATTTGCCAACCATCTTTACCAAACCGCACGACGTTTTCGATGTTATCACACTTTTCTGCGCAAGATACTGTATAGTGCGTTTGTGCGCACGATTTATGCACGATGTGCGCACGAAGGTTTTGGTGCGTTGTGCATTACCACAACTTCTAATATTATAAGGATATATTGTTACAAATATTTGATTCCAATCATAAAGCCAGGAAAATAAACAGAAAACACGACTCTACATTACCACTTCCTGTTGCGCTCTAAACAAACAGAAGTAAGGTCGCAGATAGTCATCTTTGTAAAGTCCATAGCAAACATCTTGGGTCTTTTAGAAGCAAGGTAATCACATAAAATATATTACTTTGCAAGAGATGAGATCCGGAAGAAGAGAAAAATATTATCACGCTCGTGCTGATCAGCAATGGATTCTCGTCTTATAATTATTTATTATCTATCCGACAGAACAACAATGTGATTTCTTGTCAACTGTCTTTTATCACCTTTAATGAAAGCTTCAGCTTCATGTTTGGAAATTGTCTCAGAGCAAATTCAGTGTAACAAATATGATTATATTACAAGTATATATATATATAAGTTGCAAATCATTTGCAAAGCATTCATTGGATAGTTGACCTCATTACGCACACAGGATATACATTTGAATGTTACATATATGACATGAGCATTTTGAAAAAGCAAAACTTTAAATAGTAAGTTTAATTATTTAAAATCAAAATGAAAATGCTGCGTCGTATATGCGTTAATGATTTTATTTATAACATTATTGATATTTACGCATGACTCTGTTTCAGCCAAGGGATGTTATGATTCTAAATACCAATTCTATCCTCTGGGAGAGTATATGACACAAGGTTGTGAGAAGTTTCAATGTCAACAACGTGGATATATGGCAAACTTTTACCTTGTTGAAAAAGGTTTGTATAAAATCAAACATTTGTTATCGTAGTTTGGTTTGTATGTCTAAATGTGCGTACAGCCTAATAATGAGTCAAGCTGTTGATGCTACGGGTCTAAATTTGGAAACGTATGAGGCTAAGAGAAAAGCTAAAATTGATTGGAGAAAATACCAAAATTTTGTCGACTCCGTAATCAACCAATTTCGTAATTTATATATATATCTGATAATCTCGATCAAAAGTCAAGCACGAACAATTATTGTTTCTTTCACAACATTTATATCAACTTGTGTATGGTAACCAAGAAACAACTTCATTTGCTGATGTTTTAAATATTTTACTAATTACTGGGTGTTGAAAAAAAATGCACAATTCCCCTTTAAGTCTTAATTTCGCTCTACAGGTTGTTTGTATAAAAACGAGTGCCATGCTGTTGGAGATTCGTGGTCTGACCTAGATACATGTCGTTATTTCTATTGTTCATCCCAGCAGAGTAGCGTTGGAGTAGTGGAGTCTATCGTCAAAGTGCAGGATGGTGCGTTTCGTTTTGTTTTGTTTTTTTGTAAATTCAGAAATCAGTCAATCTTGAACACGTATTTTAAAAACTCTTGTTTGTTTTCTCTCCAACAACAGATTTTTTATCCGAAATAAAAGATAGTTCCGGATTTAGTCTATCCTAATATATAGCTACCATCAAATGACTTTATCTAAGGTGTATCGTTAGTTTCAATACCACCGAAAATAATTCATGCAGTAATTATGAAATTATTATTCAGACATTTTAGAAGTAAAAATGTATGTGTAACTTCATTATTACGCTATCGTCAACAATAAAACGATGGTATATTTTTTATAGGATGTTGGGACAATGCCAATGAGAAATGTAGGGAGCATGAATCAAAATGGTATGAAGGCTGTTTTGAAAAACAATGTGTCGTGACAAAGACAAAGAAGAACGTCGTAATGAAAAAGATTGTCCTTGTTTCTGGAGGTAATATAATATTATCAACTGTGGTTCGTCACATTTAACTTAAAATACAATCGTAATAAATTTGTCATTCATAGTTCATATTTTATAAATATCATAATTTTACTGCTATCATAATTTTCTATTATGCGTGCGTTATAATGCAATTGTACTTCATGTTAGAGTTATGTTATACAAAAAAAATGCACATATGTATTTCGCTTTAATATTTTTCTATATATGGAGCAAAGTTTAAAATTATCAAAACCACAGAAATATGCAGTAGACATCGTTTGGGTTACAGGATGTGAGCAAACTATTGGCTACAGAAAAATTTGTCACGCCCCAGGCGAAATTTGGAGCGAAAATAGGGAGGATATGTGCGTCCAGTTGCGGTGTCAAGTCAGAAAGAACGTGTACACTTCAAAGATTTTAAAACCATGTGAGTATTTCGTCTCAGCATTACAGTACAGTGTTAGCATTCTGAATCGAAACTGATAAACTTCCCTTGTAGTCATAATTACTAACACCATTTGTTTCCTTTCGTTTTAGAAGACTCTGTTTCATTGTTCATCAATCATGTAAAAGTATAACGAATTAAGTAAACCATTTGTAACTTAAACGCTTTGCTTTGAATTTTCAGTGTGCAGAGACGTGAACGGACAATGCCACGAAGTTGGGGATATCGGCTTTGACGCCATGGTCTATGGAAAGCTTCTCCGCGATTGCAAATGTAAACTCAGAAACAAACAGCTGAATTACATATGTAAAGGCTAGATTCTGTAGTATTTTCTGTAATCAGTTAAGTTCTGAGCCTTTCTTTATTGTATTGTACACGTATGTGTCTCAATAAACCTGATCTATTTCTTCACGTCGTCATTCAGTATTTTCTTCCGGGGCTGATGTACAGCGTGCCACATATCGGCACATGTTAGTTATGTAATCTGTTGTAATAGAGTATCATATTTCGTGCGGATGTGTTTGGCGCATGTTGTAAACATGGATGGTCTGATATCAATAGGTGATATTTATCTTTTAAAAAGAATCTATACATCGTGCCACTTTACATAAAATACATTTAATATTTCGTGTCTGTCTAAATATCAGTTGTAACCGATTCAAGTATGTGATAATTTGAGTCTTCTGAAATCAATCACTTAATTCTAGTGCGGTTTATTTACTGTTAATGTTGAATTTCGATTCGTGAAATTCATATGTGGCTGGTTCTAAAATATTTCCGATAAATTATACAATGCTAGACAAGTTGTCTCCCTTCATTTGGTACTAAGCCTCAACATATAATAATCGACATCCGAATTCCTATATTTGATACATCATGATATTTTGTACGTGGCATTTATTAATATAACACATGATACATGATGATGTTTAATACATTGTATACGTATATAACGTATGGAATAGATCTTGAAGGTTTGTTTTGTCATTTGAAAAAATATTCGGTAACCTGTATAATAATTGAAAATACATCTGTGAACATGTTCTATTTAAGAAAAAGATACAGAGTAAGTTCGTTATCGTAAGAAACAATATTCTCACATTTACTAAAAGTGACACATCGACCCGAACATAATTAACAGAAATACAATAGTAGATGTATATTTGATCACACTTCCTACACTCAATCACTTAATTCGTAAAGTTTCACAGAACATGATAGGAAATGTTTAGTTTTATTCATACCGATGTTAAACTAGTATCTGACCACACGAGCATATTGGTTAGTTTATATCGGGAGACTTTCGTTCTTCGAAATAAAAAAAATATTTACCATTTTATATTGAATTTTTCACCGCATTGTTTAATTTTCACTCTTCTTTTAGAACAAACGTTTCCCGCCACATGGTATAATTATTAAGTAGTCGACCTTTTATATAACATAATGGTGTTAATTAAACTACCAATCTATCCAACTTCTTGGCTCTAAGATATATTTATTATCTATATTCCTTGCACTGAAAGCGACTTGTTTGTTACTCATTCTTTATTTATTTTTTTTTTTTTATAAGATTCTTACTTTTTTGTTATTTATAAATTCAAGCTTCAATTTTAATTCTAAACAATTTTATTGATATATAAATACATATATTAAAAAGGGGTGTTAGGCAAAGCCTCTTTAAGTATTTGCCTTCACAACATTAACATACAGCGTAGTCATTAGAGCGACACAACACAAGGGAAGCAACTCGTATCTACCTGATCTATTTTTATATTAATCTCATTTGGAATCAGGAACTTATTGGGTTAAAATATATAATTACTAGGCTGTATATTTGTAGTTATTTCTTGAGATTAATTTTTTTCATCTCATCAGATACAGACCAAAAAAGTTCACACTCAACAGTCTATTTCCAAAGCACCAACACAAAGCGACTTGCTGTGCTTGGTGTATCGGTCTGTGTAGTCAGGATGGTTGATATCCTTAAACACGTAAATTTTGCATTAGACTTCAGTAAACTCAACACGATAAGTAGCCTATCCTCAGAGACCGACGATAACGAGAAGCATCAAATTATGTCCGGTGAAATATTCGGCTTCTCCACTAATAGAACCATGGCTTACCGTTATGGGTGTCAATGTTAGTATGATAACATATATTTACTATTATGTGGCTAATTCTACATGCTACATGTATTTAGTTGAGAGTCAAATGTAAACGTACAGCCATTTAATGATACCATTACTATATAGTTACTGGGTATTTACAGTCCAAAAACACGTACACCAACATACTTAATTAGTCATGTACATAATAGATACCAATCGTTTCCATGCATATAAGAAATCCAACCTATTGGTACGACACTGCAATACACGTTTCCGTTAGCATTGCAAATTAATATAATGTGTAGACAAAAGAGCAAAGCACACACACACACAAATGATAAATAAAATTGGTTTTTTTTATATTTTTTGAGTTGACATGATGCAAATTGCATACCGTGGGTAATGTTTGTAATTGATACAGTGACAATGAATATATATATAATTGTGTAAAAGACACCAAAGTGAATAGCCGTTTAAATACACATATAAGTCATTAGAACTAACTAATGAATTGAACTGCATCATACCGCTGTTTCATCCTCCTAGGACTTGTCAGTGATGATAAGGGCCTAATTTTTAGACCGTCGAAGCAACAGATCAAAATCAAAAGTACTCGACGGAAATGTCAAAATTTAGACGGGGAGATGCACCAGCGCTATAATTCACTTAATGTCGTCATTTTCATATATCTGATCGTTTGAGAACCAAGCCGTCATCCGAATGAATCTAAACCTTCCATGTAGGTTTGGCTTGTGTTCATGTGTTTTGTTATGTACAAGACTTCACGAGAATTACATGTGACACGTGACAACGCCATTCATATGACCTTTTTCAGCCGGAAACAATATTCTTATTGAAACATTGTTTGTCAATAAGATCTAAATAATGCATAATTGCTTGAAATGTTTAAGCCTGTCACCAAAATCACTTACCTGATTTTGTCACGATATCAAAGACCCATTTGCCTGTCAACACTACACTTACAGCGACCAAACATACGCTAAATTTGACAAGTTAAATATGTCATTTTTTAGCACTGACGAACACACACTCCGTCACACGTGCTGTTCTGTCTGTTCTATTATGTGGTGATATAAAAATTGTGCTTTCAGTCTGCTTATATGTAGTTAATTGACCACATCGCTGTGTTTGCTTTAGTTTCCATTCCTGCAGTTTGCTATTGGTAATGAATTTTTATACTTTTTGTGTTTCGGATGACCCCTTGCATGTTAACTTCATCTCGAAGTATTTCATCACACCTGTCATTATTTAATAAGTCGTCAATGAAACAGAACCCGTTCACTCTTCCTGAACACCTGGTCTTATTCTCCTTGTACGTTGTCAAGAGTTCCCGTGTAAATCTTTCTTTTATTCATATTTTGTCCTAGTTTTATTGGATTTGAGTTATGATTGTGATGATGTTGACATGTTGATGTTTTCGTGTTCCTTTTTATCAATAAGTCTAAAGTAAAAGTGAAATACAACAAGGATGAAAATCATGTAGATTGTTTAAATATGGTTTATACTTGTATTCTTCGTCAAACTTAATCTCTACAGGTATACATGTTCTGGGATTCTATGTGCCCCTCTCGTGTCTGGTTTGTTTGTTCGAAGCGCTAAGACCATGTCGAGCTTATCAATGTAACTTGAAAATTAATCAATGATGTCTTGTGTTTAAGTGACCAGAAATATATGTGCCATGTCCGTTAGATTTTACGAATACTTGGAAATGTAGAGTACGACAGACTCGAACACAAACCGCGTGCTTTGATTTTTTCTAACAGTGCAACCTACAGGGACAATTTTCAACTAAGCTTTCTCACACGTGTAGTGATTGTTTTTCCAGGATGACATTTATTTTACATTTGTCAAATATTAACTTCTTTGCTTTTCTAACTTGTATTTTCAATTGATGTTAAACTCTCCAGAAAATGTGTTAAGAGATAATAAGAGAAATTATGTGTTATGAAGTTAATTGTCTTCGGATGTTGGTGTACATGGCCATTTTGGTTATTTTTTTTAAGAATGTAGTTTTCATTTGAGAATGTGATATTTTCTGGATATCTCCTATTGACGAAGCGGAATACGTTACACTTTGATAACGCAGTCTTAATCAATGGAATACCATTATGATTTTACAGACATAAACGTGTTGTCAAGTTGTTTCTGTTAATAAGATATGTGTATTTTCTTTTTTTCAGTTAGATGTTCAAATATTTTAGTCAAATCCGATTTTGGGAAAATATTGCAAATTCATAGAATTGTAAGTGCATTACATATTTATACATATATAACTATATATTCTTGTGCATAATTCTATATCATCTTACACTTCATCCTTCAGAGTTCCAGGACCTGGAATAAGTTGTAAGGACACATCAAACGATTATCTAGAATTACATACTTTAGTCTTGTTGTTACACTTAATTACGCAACCATTGTAAACTTTTAACGTTTCAAATACCAACCCTCCACCCCAGAATACCCAAAATACTCTAGTATGTTATAATTTATATTAAATACACACGTGCTCTCTACTGATACTACTACGACACAATCACGTTGATAGACAGGTCTGTGAATGAAGAGCACCATAGGAGCGTGTTCGAGACAGTATTCCCTACTAAAACATGATCAAATGTCAGAATATATTCGATACCTATTTACCCCATGGCACGTGAATACACATGTTGGTGACAGGTGTATATAACGTAAGATATAGACCAATGATCAATATCATAAATTAAATCCACCCCTTAAAGGCCCTACATGTTAATATATACCCCGAAAAAGTATGTTTAAAGTAAATATTTATCATCGATGATTTCTGTTCCATTTTTTCACGTCTTTACTATTCTATATTAACTTAACTATGTGTTTTTCTCTATATTGATGTTTCTGAAATGTATAATATATCAATTCTTTATTGAAGAAGTAAGCGAGCAAAGCTTTTATACGGCTCAATCCTGGTGATCGTTATCAATGAACTGCCGTTAAGAGGTAGATGCCATATAGAAGATTATGTCGTGGGGTAATAGGAGTGATAATCGTGGCCTCCAAGCCAACTAGTGTGGCATATACGTAAACTTGTCGGCCCACTGTATAGTCGCTTATAACCCGAACGTAATCAGAACTTCAATTTGATAACTCTTAACAGCTCATTGTAGCTCAACAATACAAGCGTCAGATTGTTTAAGATCAAACTATTC